GCTGTTCTAGCAAAGGTTTACTACATTGGGTAAAAAGGACTTTCTGATAAGCAGTTTGGATAATGAAGGAAAGTGTTTGCGAAGCATTAAGACAATCCATTTCACCTAGAGCAGACATGTCAAACACAAGGCCCGGGGGGCTGGATGTGGCCCGCGAAGTGGTTTCATGTGGCCCATGAAGCCATCCTGGAAACGGCCCCTGCTACCTTGGCCCTGGCAGTGAGGGAACGGTCCCTGCTGCCTTGGCCCTGGCCCAGGCCAGCCAGGAGCCAATGTACGATGTTGTGGTGGCCATCTATGCTGAAACATATTCAGTCTTAGCTCTACAAGGCCGTCTGGAAACAGCAAGGAACCAGCCCCTGCTGCATCGGCCCTGCCCCCCGGGTGCATGCTGGGGAGGTGTCACCCTTTGTGAACTCTCATAGTTCCCTACGTCCGGTTAGATCCCACAGGCTGGGCCTCCTTCAGGCCCCGTTGGCCAAGCAGTGCCATTTGGCGGGGCCGCGGAGGGCCTTCTCTGTGATGGCGCCCATGTTTTGGAATCAGCTCTCCCCGATGATTAGGACCGCTCCCACCCTGTTGGTCTTCTGTAAGCTACTTAAGACCTGGCTTTTCCGGCAGGCCTGGGGTTTATAAAACCTTACGCCTGGATGATTGTTTTTGTATTGTCGTTTTGTTATGTTTTATGTGTTTTTTATTGTTAGCCGCCCAGAGTCCTTCGGGAGTGGGTCGGCTTATAAATTTTAAAAATAATAAATAATAATAATAAAAAGAAGACATGCACCATCGCCTGGAGGTGGCCAGCAAATGGCCCTAACCTACTTCACATATGGGCTCTGAGGGAGGAGTTTCGGCAGGCAGCGGGGTGCTCTCCTCACAGCACCGAGAGGCTGAGCTGGGTGATGCAAATCCAAAAAGAAGCACGAGGCCACGCAGCTCCCGGCCTGCCCGGTTTCGGCAGGCAGCAGGGCGCTCTCATCACAGCGCCAAGAACTGAGCCGGGTGGTGCGAATCTGATGAAAGTGCAAGGAGCAGGAGCAAGGAGAAGTGCAAGGAGCAGGAGCAGGCAAAAAAGCAGAGGGAGTAAGATCAACTCCCAACTTCCTGCTGGCTTCCTCATTGGCTTTGCTTGCGTGGGACGCTGGCTTCTTTATTTTTCTTTCTTTCTTTTTTTTCCTTCCATCCATCCATCCATCCATCCATATTTACTTCTGGGTTTTGGCAAAATGCCCCATCGTGAACAATGGAGTCTCTTAATAACCATGGTGTTTCACTTAACAATTGCCATGAAAAAAAGGTTGTGAAATCAGGTCAGTCATGTGATGATCTGCTTTATAATCATCATGGCATATGACTGTAATGGGAAGGCTCCATTATGACCATAAATTGAGGATTATGAACAATTTACAATAACTGGAATGGTGTACTTTTTGTAAAGCTTATATATTACTTTGCCATTTAAGGAAAAGGAATAGAATTATCTTGTCTCTGTCGAGCTGTAGGTGAAATATATTCATTTATTTACAATCCATGGTCAATATTTAGAAGACAAAAAACACATAAGATATAAAGCAACAATATAAAACAACAATAAAATAAAACTTATAAAGTCTGAAGCAATTAATACTATAAGAAAAGCACCAGACTATTTCTGTAAGACACAGCTAATGTTAAAATTTAACAACTTTACTGGTCATATCTGAAATTTAATTGCCTAAAAAAAAAACTCTAACTTCTTGCTCTGAAGAACAATTACGATTTTTAGCAACTTGTGCTATAAGCTCTGCCCTCCATGTGTTGCCCTTACAGGTAATTCACTGATCTGGCCAAAGGTGAATGTTATAATAATATCTGGGAATGGAATAGGACAAGTGAATGACTGAACTATAATGGAGATGAGGAACTCTGGTTCTATCACTTTGGACATTTAGGTTTCAGAGTCTCCAGGGAACAGTATGGCTTAATGGGAGTATATTAAGAATACTCAAAACTACATCTTTCTCTTAACACAATATTTTTTTAATTTATTAAATATTCTTAAAATTAATTCACAGGAATTTTAAGATATGATTTTTTTTAAAATAATAGCAAACATATCTGCATGATGTCTATGGACATTATCAATCATCCAGGTTATGGTTGTCCCAATGGAACATGTCTGCATGATATTAAACATAAAGTGCCTACAAAGCAGAACATTTTTTCCTGGTTATTTTCCATTCTTAACTGACTTTATGTTTTGAGTGAATAATACAGAAGAATTATATAGTAATATTGTGGGATTAGCTTTTCAAAATTTAAGGGATTACAGTGTCTCATTGTATTATTCATAAATGAAGAAACCCAGATTCGAAGTGCTTTGAACTTCACAATACAGGGACTTACTTCATCTAACATATAGTTATAAAATAATTTATTGTTTAGTCTTATTACCATATCAAAAAATAAAAATAAAACACAGCATATAATTCTTGGGTAATATAGATAAAAGAAAACACAGTAATAAAATATATATGTGGCAAATACAAAGAATCAATATTCAGAAAAATACACCCTCTTTACATGATACCCCAATTTTGTTTGATATAATGGGTTCTTAGCTCAACTGCCTTAACTATAAACTTTTGCTCACAATGTATAAGTTAAAGCCCAGGAAGAAATAAAATAATCTACAATTTAGATCCCAATGGGCTCTGTAGTACTATCAGATGGGGATGCTATGTATTTTAGCTTAAGAGTAGCATATAGTTGACAGTCAAACAAAACATAAGAAAAACATATAGTAAGTAATCCTGCACATCATTTTCAAGTGCTGGATATCAACAAGTGATGTTGCATAATAGTATATCTTATTTTGCAAAAATATGCCAAGTTATATGAACATAAACCAGTGGTGTCATAGGTACTCTGAGTATCTAGATCAGTAGTGGCAAACCTATGGCATGCATGCCAGAGGCGGTAGTCGGAGCCCTCTCTGTGGGCACGCGTGCCGTTGCCCCAGCCTCACCTCCCCCCATGACCCCCTCCTCACCAGCAGCCTCCCTGAAGGAGAATCGTCCCCGAGCGTGGCCCACATAGAGCAGCGCAGGCAAGGACATGGCAGCCAGGCAGTGTAGACGAGACTCTGCCCTCATGGCCCATCCTGCACAGTTGATGCTGCGGGGCGTGGGCAGAGGGCGTAGCTGCCATGGCACTGCTGGGCCACCTGGCCGATCTGCGGCGGGCCCTGGAGGCAGTAAATGGCCCTGTGGGCAGGCAGGGATAGGGGACAGGGTGGGGGTGGGGATGGGGTGGGGCAGGGGTGGAGCAGGGGGGCAGTTTTTGGGCACTCGGTCTCTAAAAGGTTCGCCATCACTGATCTAGATGCTTCCTATTTATCCCTGCCGAGCACAGCTAGAATGTTTCTGCTTCTGCCCTAAATTTTACTCAAGTCTTAATTGAGGAACAATTTACTAATATCCATGTTAAGTTAGTACTGACAACTATGCTCCCATAACCACAGCCCAAGTTAGGAAACTATTGTTATATGTGGAGATTGAAACTGCTTGCAGGAAAATGCTTTATTTTAGATCTTATGCCTCTTCAATAGGATATGCAAAATATTCTAAATCCAAAAGGTTGTTACAATTTTATTCACCCTTCTAGAAATATTTGAATTGTGAATATTTCTAGAATAATTATAACATAAAACCAGTATTGATAATGTCAAAACAGTTATTTGGAATAGGATGCATTGAGCATGATACTTTCCAATTCTGAAACATTTTACACTAGTTAAATTGCTCATATAATTAACTACCTGACTAAATTACTTTCTATCATTTCTTTCTTTACTATTAGTGGAAAACAAAAGGACTTAAACCATGATAGCAAATAATTTTTATGTCTTTTCCCATAGATTGCAGAAGTAAATCATATTATGAGGACTACTGAACATGTCACTTTATATGACAAAAATAAACTGATAATGATCATGCACTGTCAGGTTGGTGCTGAATCTTAAGAACCACATAGATGGATTTTCTTCAGAGAACAAAAATAGACTAAAGTATATATTCAGTGCAAGTACTTTTGCCTTTTCCTCTATAGTTCTTGATGCTTTAGTATTTCATAATAGTGGTTCTGAGTATAAGGCTACTAGATGTATATTTTCAGAAAGGCAGGGCAAAAGTTTGGATCAAATATGTTTATGTTCCAAGAAGACCTGTAATCAATGGAACGGGTAAATTAAGCAGGTAATTAAATCCAGTTCATTTTAACAGATCTATCTTAAGCATAGTCTAATTCTTAGTTAATACTAGTGTCAATTTCAAAGTTTGAGGGGCCTTTATCTTGAATATGCTTCATTGTGACCAGAAGCATTGAAAGTTAATCATTCAGTAACCCTTACATGCCAGGAAGATTTTTTTTCTTTTTTCGGGGCGACTGATTCAAGCTAAATGTTTATTGGCCAGATGCCCTTTCGGATGCCTAGGCAGAGTCCACAGCAGATATTTTCTCTTTGCACCCTAAGAGAGAAACATCTGCTGCTACCTAGGATTGATGTCTCAACCTTTCCGAATGGGAGGTGAGTGTCTTCACCACTAAGCCACCACACTGCCAGGAATAAGTGACAATGTGGTGGCTGAAGAATTGACAGCATCTTTTTTGTTTCCTTTACCCTACCCAAAGTCTCCAGAACTTAATGAATTAAGAGATTGGGAGGGAGAAATTAGCCTAGGACCAAGCACTATCATCTTTTTCACAGTCCACTTATTTTATTTAAAAAATAAAAACAAAATAAATGCATATAAAATAGGCAACACCCACAAAAATCTTGAACATACTATAGATAAAAACGTGAGTTCAACATCAAAGACAAATTATTCTTCTATAGCAATACATTGTTGGTATCACAGACCTTTATCAATACTGTTAAGATTCCAGATAACTTTACAATGTGTTACACTTTCTGTCTGAATGTCGCATTTTTGAATGGCACTTTTAAAATGTCTACTTGCCTAGCAAAACCTTGGCATCTTCCATATCAAAATCACCATCACCATCAGCATCATAGATCCCAAGTTTTCCTAAAGGGGAAGAAATGAATCTGTTTCAGAATCTCTGAATGGTGAAAAATTAGCAAAGAAGAAAAAAAGTAGTGTTGGATTTTTTACTAGAATCTTAAATGCAAATGTAAGCCATTTTGAATATACATGTTGTTTCATCTTAAAATAAAGTTTATTGGTATTTGAATCTAAAATCCCTTCATAATACTAAAATGACATCACAGTATCCGCTAACATTAAAGAAACAATTTTGTATTTGATATATTTACACAAAATAAATGATATAACTTTGATCCTATTCTTTTTACATGAGTGGAAACTTCACTTCAACAGGAATATGACTCTTCTTAACAAATAACTAATAATATACAGTACTGTGTACTATATATATATATGATTGTGTACTAATATATTTATATATCTAGTCCCTAAATATGCAGATTCTGATTTCAGAAACTTCACATTCAGTAATAAGGTAGATATAAGCAATGTAAAGAAATACTTGCTTCAAATAAAATTTGCATCTGGAATAGCTGCAGATATCCAATACCTTACTTAATGAGGAACATGTCAAGTTGGCAAACATTAGGGATTACTATTTACTGAAAGGGGGGGGGGAACTGTTCAGGTTTAACAGATTTGCTAAAAAGTTTTCCAATAGGCAACTTATAACCATGTCAAATAGTCTAGCAATAATTTGAGAGGTTTGAGTTATTTTCTGGCTTCAAAGGCCAAAGCACATCAAAAAAAGGAACAAAGCAGAAAGCAAAGCAGGAAACTGCTCTAAAATATAATTTGCTACAGTTTAGAACTAATGTCATAATTGAGCTTCCAAACAACATGCCTAAATTGAGACAGCTGTTGGATTTCACAGATTTCTCTACTGATGGATTATAGTAACTCTCAGCTGCTACTTGTACTTAATTTTTCTATATTGTGTTTAACTGTTTTTATGTCTATGGAGATTCTCAGTCATCCAGGTCATGGTTGTCCCAAAAGTGTTTTTTCAAGAGGCAACTGGACTTTCTTTGTTTTTCCTTAAAACAAAGTTCTGTAACCGAAGAAGCGTCTTGGATTAGAAGCAAAACATCTTCAGGGAAAAACAAAGAAAATCCAGTTGCCTCTTGGAAAAGCACCTTTGGGACAATTGTTTTTATGATTATTTGCTGACCAGAGTCATTGGTCTGAGTTGGATAGCTATACAAATTGAATAAATAAAGAACAAAAATAAGAATACAATCATCCTTTGCAAAACTGAGTAAATCAAAATTGACTGAGTTTACAGAACACAGATGGATAAAATGAAATGTACTATATTATGGCTTGGTAAGATTGTCAACCTAGTTAATTGCTGCATAGATTTTTTTAGGGAAGTACAAATCATCTGAAGTAGGTACCTTTATAAAAGTATTAGAATGAGCAAAGAATTCCTCTTAAATGTATTAAAATGACCAGTGGAAGACTTGCACAGCTGTTTCAACAGTTGTTCCTTGTGGGAACCATCAGTAAAGCAAAGTGGCTATGCATGACAAGATGCAAAAAAGAGCCAGGTGTCAGCCTTCATAGCATTCTGAAAATTATATTGCTTTAAGGATGACACATTATTAGGTCAAACATTTCTACAAAATATCTCTTTTAAATGTTTTGTTTACTCACGTTGTTTTGAAATAATGCAGAATAGCACTTTTTAAAACATTTTCTTTCCATATAATCATTTCTGTATAATCTCAAAATACAGATAGATTATTAAAATCTAGAGAACCAGGGCAAATGTTCCACAGATTCTGCCAAGAACTCCTACATTGATTTTTATAGCCTTGATATTGGAGGTTTATTATAATTGTCCCTATAGCCATTTCACAACAATATACAAATGTAAAGTTTGATACAGGAAAGCAAAACGCAGTTTCATTTCATTTCTCAAATTCCTAGTCCCCCTGTCCCAATTAAAACCAAGACAATTGGCAAACTATTTCTGTATTATTTAGGCAAGTAGTGTTTTGACAATCTAACCAAATGTCCTCAAACAACTTTATACAGGAAAAATAAAATAAAACATCCTGTTAAGCTATTCACAAAAGTTTGCCAATGGCATTAAAATATTGAACAATCTTATCTACAGAAGTAAATATCAACAGCAAAACACTATTCGGATGATCTGCTTTTTCCTCCTCTTTTATGTATCAATTCCACAAGCCAGGGGAAAGAAGCTAAATATTCAAAAATAATGTAAAAAAAGGAAAAGCAGAAAGATAAATCTGAAGAAAATCAGTCCTATCCTCTTCAGAAGTAAAAAAAGAGAGAGGGGGGGGGAGGGAAGATAACAGCAGATTTTCTTACTAAAGTTAATTTTACCACAGCTTCAAAAGTTATCTGGAAATAAAAGCATCTTGTCTGGAGAGAAAGAAAAATAGCTGTATTTTTTTAAAAATAAAATTTTATAAATCAACCCCATCAAGTATAACACATAATATACGGTAAGTATTCTTCTATAAGCCTACCTTGAAGTACTTCTGACAAGTTATAACGGAAGTCCTTTGCCTTGGCTGCATGCATGGCAAAAATACAGATACCATTACTCACATTATCAGAACCCACAAAACTGTCCACCCTTTCAATCTTCAAATTCATCTTTTCTCTGCCCCCTTGGACTTAATATATTAGTAGTTATAAATACAATATATCTAACTCTATTTTCCTAATCTAATTGCTTGCATTTTAATATTTATTTTGTGCCTTCAAGTCAGTCTTATTTTCTGATGACTAAATAGACAGGTTGATGCCGTTTTCTTGATACCATTTTCAGAAGTATTTGTCACTGCCTTATTCCTAGGGCTCAGACAGAGTGAATAGCCCCAAATCACCCAGATGGCTTTGATGCCTAAATTAGAACTTTTGTTTTTCTCTTCTTAGTTCAACACTTTAATCTCTCCTCTAAATTGGCTTTCTTGCTTTGATTGTTTTTACTAAAAATGATAATAAAAATGAATAAGAATTTACTATTGCTAAAGTTTTGAACCAGATTTTAATATTAATAGGAGGAGCTAGAGAAACACCTGCAAGGCCACTGTGAATAGTATTCTAGGCATCAGTTGAATAAAGTTACGTAGATTTGCACTAAGTTGGAATCAAGCTGAGCAGGTCCTACAGAAATGACTGAAGTCCATCTTTGCTTAGTTAATCCAGACAATTTCAGACAGCTGATCCTAAGGAAATAGTCAGAATTTTTACTGCTCTCAGCTCTACCACCTATGTTCTGGATTCTGCCTTTCCTGGCTGTCTAAGGCCTTGGAGGAGATGACACATGACTGCGCCCAAGCAGTAGTTAATGCCACTTTGAGAAAGAAATGGTTCTATCCGGCTTGAAGAATGCAGTGATTTGCCCCTTTCTCAATAAGTTATTATGGACCCAACAACATTGGATAACTTACATAGATCCTTACCTTACATTTGTAGTGAAAGTAGTTCAGAGAACGAAAAGCATTGGTATTATTCTGGACTGGTTTAGGGAGTTAGAAATGAGGCACTATTTTGTAATGGTTATCCTCTTTCCTCCATAACCAGTCCCAGTCATTGTTGGTAGGGGAAAAGAAATCCCCTCTTACGTGAGAGGGAGGGCTGTTCTCTCACCCCTCTGTTTTAATACTGCACGAAGCTATGGTGAGATTATTTGGCAGCATGGGGTGAAGTATCATCAGCACACTGATGTTACTTAGTTGTTCATCTCTGACAGACTCAATGCCTAGAAGCGTAAGGCTTGGATGGGGAGGAACTAGCTATAATTGAATTCTAAAAAGATAAGTGGCTTTGTGTTTCTGTGTCCTCTGGAATTGGGAGAGCTGCTATCTTTAGGTCTTGATGGAACAGCAATTCCCTGCACAGAATTTGAGGGTCCTCTTGGATTCATGGCTCTTGATTGAAGAACAGCTGTCAGCCATGGTTCAAGGAGCTTTGCAAAAATTCATTTTATGTGCATATTGTATCTAGTGTCCCTACTGAGAGCCAGTTTGGTCTAGTGTCTAGAAAGCCAGAGGCAGTTCTTGCCCTGCCTTAGCCATACAAGCTAGTGGGGTGACCGTAGACCAGTCACTCTCTCTCAGCCTGCTTATTTCACAGGGTTATTATTGTGGAGAAAATAGAAGTCAAAAGTGTGTTAATATTTGCCACCATGAGTTATTTGTAAAAATAATAAAGTTTGGATTCAAATAAATAAACAAATATTGTGCTCATTCCTGGGCCAGAAGTCTCAGGTCACATTCACTTGTGCCTTACTCATGTCCTGCGTGGACTACTGCAATGCATGATACATGGAGCTATTCTTGAAGACCACCCAGAAACCTCAACTGGTCCAAAATGCAGCAGTAATTCTGGGCTGCCCAGAGTTTGCCAGTATTACACCACTATTTTATAAGCTGTCTGGGCTCCTTTTTCTTTCTAGATGTAATTCAAGTAGCTGTTCATTAACTTTAAAGCCTTGAATAGCACAGAGTCAGTTTATCTGAGCAAATTCCTCTTCCCGAGGATATCCTCCCAGATTGGATAGGTGGCTGTGCTCCAGGTCTATTAAATCTTGCCATCTAATGGCACTTAGGAAGCAAGCCTTTTTCCATAGTGGCACCTAGTCTTCATGTTGAGATACAGAGAGCCCCTATCCTCATGGCCTCTTTCAATGATAGGCCAGGAGTGTTATGGTTGCTGGTGGCATATAAGAATTTTTAATTTTGTTGTATTTTTATTATATGTATGTCTGCTGGCTGCTCTGGGACACCTAACATGGGAAACCATAAAATGTTTTACATAAATGAATAAATATAGCAAAGTAGGAAATTGAATCTTAAGATATTACTATGACTGAATTCTTACCTAGTACTTCCTCGTAATCAACAAGTTCAAACCAAACTACTGCAACTGATGTCCATACTCCCAGAAGCGCAATTACCATGAACCATGTAAAAAAAGAGCTCCCAGAAACTCCCTCTTTCTTGGCACTCTTGTTTCCACCATGTTTTGCTTCTGTAAGATATAAAAATGAAATATTATTGGACGTTAAAAACTTACTAAATAAAATGTACATAAAATGTAATGTTACTATTAAATACATGACATTATTTCTAAAGTTTGTTCACAGATTAAAAAAGGATAAATTAAGAGCAGACAATAAAATCCAAGTGGTGAGATGTGCATGGCAAGAGAAAGAGATGGAGTACTCCTCAGGAGTAGCGCTTACTGGTAGTCTTATTCTTCAGTTTCCTACCTCTTTGCCTGGTCATTCGAGCTTAGGTGGTCTTGATCCATCAGTTGCTGCAACTTAATTCCTAAGAAAGTAGAGAAGGTCCTTGGGATTGTAAGCCCAGCCACCTGTATTTTGAATCCATGTCCTTCCTTGTTGGTCAAGACCTCCCAGGAGTTGACATGTGATCTGATCCAAGTACTGAATACATCCTTGAGAAAGGGGATGATTTTATTAGATATAAAGGTGACGGGGTCTACTCCCTTTTCAAGAAACCATCACTCTAACAGAGCTGAATAATTTTCATTTAGTTTGCAACCTTCTCTTTTCAAGGTAATTAGGCTACAATCTCAAAGGACCATGAAGGCAATGGATTTTCTGTATCTCTTTAGGTCTGGCTTCTAACCAGGATATAAGGCTGAGATAGCATTGGCTGCACTTTGTGATGACATGGCAGGCTCAAGATAGGGAGAGTGCATTCCACTTCTGGCTCTTTTTCAGCAGTCTTTCATACCATTAATCACTGTACTATTTTTGAGTAGCTTAGGGGATTGGAAGCATGGTGTTCTAGTGATTCCTCTTTTTCCAGGGCCAATTGCAATCGATATTGATAAAGAAGAAATCTAGTTCTAACATCTGCTATTTGAGTTTTCTGAATTAAATTTGTTTTAATTTAATTACACAGAAAAGATCAACTTTTGCATTAATTTCGACATGCAAATTCACTTCTTTGCGACAAGATAAAATTCATTGGAATGTTTTCAGATCCACTTTTATTTATTGGAAACACAATATCAACATTTAAAATATATGAGAAATTAGCCATGGACCATGTCAATACAAAATTCTAAAAACCCACTTGTTTAAAAATTAATTGCTTCATTTATATTTATTTAACTTTAATGCTATACTTTAAATCTGAGAGGAAGTGATTTTTATTCATTGAGAATAATGTTACCAGCAATATAAACAAGAAAAATAAATAACAAATAAATATAAATTATTTTTTCTGCCTATTTTCTTTTCTATTTTCTTTCTACTTCCATTTGTTTCACCTACTGCTGAAAAATACCATTTGTTTGTTCTTTATAGCAAACACCATTAATGATATTTTCTTCCTATTAACTCATATAATGAATGTGCATACAAGACTTGCACCAACTAATTTAAATTTAAATTTAAATTATGCTTACTCCTAGTCTGGTTGGTGCATCGAGTTTCCTTTTTTTAGGTCACACACATATAATCCAGTATATAGTATTTCTAAACATATGTTTATACTTCTTATCTTTTCAATCAGTTTAAAATATACTAGAAAACTGCAGTTTTATAATGTCCCCTACCTTTATTATTCACAGTATCATAAAGTATTCAATATTATAAATGTTCATAGAAAACACTGAAGAGGAGAAAGAGAAAAGAGAGAGAGAGCTGGTGTACCTTGAATATAAATATCTAGGTAAAATATGATTGGGTTCATATAAATGAAAACATTTTCACATAATATTTTCTGAACTGAACTATTTAGTATTTCTAAAGATATCACAATTTTATATTTATTTTTAGAACAGTGAAACCATTGCTGCTATGGGCGTGCAAATCTCTTAAGCCTTCAAACATTTACTGGAAGACTAGTTTCTGTTTGGTCTTCTCTTAGAAATCACATGAAAATCTCATTTTTTACCCTGCCTTTCAAATTTATAAAATGATATTTAACAAATCCAGAAGTGTTCATTAAAAACTCCTTTACGATTTAAACTAATTTTTCAGAGCTAAATAAAAGTTACTATCTTTCACACAGATACTGCCAGTAATCAGAAAGTAGGTCAATTTCCAAAACTGGTATGCCTTTGCTGTCATCCACCACTTGTTTATAGCAGTATAATTATGCATTAGCATGTCAAGAAATATATTTTAATTGTTTTAATTGTATGATATTAATTCTGCTGTATTTTTACAATATTGTATTTTGCTATTAAACAATCTATGTTCAATCACATTTAAAGAATTCTAAAATCAAGTATCTTGTGTAATGGGACATACAATAAATGAGATAACATTTCAAATTTTTAAACTTATAAATTCCATTTAATTTTTAGCTAACAGTATTTTAAATTTTGTTGCTCAATAATCATAATACATTATACATACATAAGTCATAAATACATTCAATATTCTAAGCTATCAGAGACATACCTGAATATTCAGCCATGGTATCAGATCCTTTTTTCCATGAATAAAGTACACTTTAATATAAAACCAGTGTCCAAGATAGAAACAGCTAAATTCACTCTCATATAAGCCTTGCGATAGCAGCAAAGGAAGATCTTTATGACCAACTCAGCTAAACCCCGAAACTAGACCCGACTGCAAACTCTGCTCAAAAGCTATTTTTAGTGCAGCCATCACAAGCTAAATGCTTTTATGTACCCATATTGAAACCCAGTGCTGGCTGTAATCAAGTTTATCCTCTCCTACTAACAAAGCATCCTGGGTAATGGGTTTTTTCTGTTTCATTTAATTTCTAAACATCAGCATACCAGGAAAGAAAAATTGAAAAGATCTTTTTTTTTTTAAAAAAAAAAATGCATGCTTCAGCAACTAAAATCTAAGAACATTAAATCTTCTACACAAACTCAGACAAAAGTCCAGGAACAAAGTTTCTCTGTCCAATCTGGGCATCAGACAGTCATTCTTACCTGATGCTGTTATTCAGTCATCCCATGTCTTTGTTTTTAAGTAACTTGTTTTTAAACTTGCAAACAACTCACAGAACTTCATGTCTAATTATAAGATGATATTGTTCTTAATAAATAAAAGTTCCTTCAATAGCAGCAATGAACCATAACTGGTAATAAGTTAAAGCACAACCTTCATTACAAAAAATCTAAAAATATGTCCATAACATTTCACAATATGTTAAAATTTAGAGATTGCTTTGTTATCAATTTGTGAAGTAAGAAAGACAGAAAGCTAAAATACATGTTAGTTACTATATATAAACTAAACTTTGTGAGAAATGCAATAGAGATTGAGCCCACACTACAATATTAAGTAATCTTCAGGCTGCTCCTGTAAGAATCCTTTCCCCTTTCTTTCTAACACTCCCTCCTGTTTTTTCCCTAAAATAACATTAAGATTATTTCATAACTATGGAATCTGAATTGTTGAATTACAGCCCAAAAATGAAAGATTCAGCAATGGATGGCCTTTATACTGATCCCCAGAATATACTTTGGTTGATTCAATACTATTATCAACCTAAGTTAGTTCAAATAGTCCTCAACCTATGACAATTGAGCCCAAAATTTTTGTTGCTAAGCAAGATAGCTGTTATGTGAGTTTTGTTCAATTGTACAACTTTTCTTGCCACAGTTGTTAAGTGAATCCTGCTTTCCCGTTGACTGCTTGGCAGAAAGTCAAAACGAGATCATATGACCCCAGGACACAGCAATAGTCATAAATACATGCCAGTTGTCCAAATTTTGATCACGTGACCATGAGAATGCTGCAACAGTTGTAAGTGTGAAAAATTGTCATGTCACTTTTTCAGTGCCTCTGTAACTTTGAATAGTCACTAAATGAATAGTTGTAACTTGAGGACTACTTGTAACAATTCTTAATGTTACAACAAATAATAAAATGCTTATGCATTCGATACAAAATACTGAAGTCCTCAGACATCAACTGTATATTTAGCTATAAACCCAGGAACTTATTTCAGAATATAGTACTATAAGTCTATATTCTAGGGGATATTTTGGGCAAACTCTCAAAAACACAACGAAAATTCTAAAGTAACAGAGTACAGTATCATAAGAAAACATAGTTTAATAAAAGCATATGTATTTATTTATTTGTGAGACTTATATACCGCTTTAAGTGCAAGCACTCTCTAAGCGGTGTACACCAGTAAGCAATGTATATATATATTTACATTGCCCCCAACAATCTGGGTCCTCATTTTACCTACCTCGGAAGCTCTAAATAACTCAAATTTTATTTTTTTTATTTATATCACACCTTTATTATGTCCAAGTATCCAGCTTTTCCAGATTTCTTTTAAATAAGGGACTATTTTGCAATTTTTATATTATTTGCAAGCAAATATTACTTTGATGAAATGTTTCTTGTTTAGTGTCATGATGCTTTGATCTCCAAATAGCCTATTCCCTATTACTGCAAAGGAGAAATGTAATTTCTCCACTTAGTAGTATCATGATGATTTGCTGGCCAATTTGATAAACATAAAATCATCAGATAAATATTCCAACTTTAGGGATTTTTAAAATTTAAATTGATCTGTTTTTTTAAAGAAGCATTTATACTTCTAAATGCATAAAAGCAAAAGGAGATGTCAAATACATTTCCCAAAGTGTATGTTTGTGGAAGAACTAAGAAATATTGCTTGAATTTGAAACAGAATATAGGTGAAAGCATACTTTTCTCTACTTCAGAAGAATAGTTCCTGATTAAAATTGAAAGATTTTTGTTGCATTTTTGATAATCATCAACATGACAAGGAATATACAAACACAGACAGAAATCACTATTAAATACTAGTCTTTCAACTGTCCCAAAAATGCTTTTCCATGAGGCAACTGGACTTTCTTGTTTTTTCTTTGAAGATGTTTCGCTTCTCATCCAAGAAGCTTCTTCAGTTGTGAAGCTTCTGAAGCTTCTTGGATGGGAAGTGAAACATCTTCAAAGGAAAAACAAGAAAGTCCAGTTGCCTCATGGAAAAGTATCGTTGGGACAACTATGACCTGGATGACTGAGAATC